TATATATATATATAAAGATTTAGAAGAGATTTATACTTTGCAAAAAGAGAATATTAAAATACATATTATAAAAATCGTTAATATACAAAAATTTGTTATAGATTGCCGACAAAAATCATTGTTTAACGTATGTTTCAAAACAGAGTTAGGGCTTTATCAATTTAGGATCGTTATTTTTCCTCAGTACCAACAATTGTCAGTATTACACAAGTTACAGTCAGTTATTGTCTATACCGAGACGAGCGATTATTCGTAAGATATTCATATGAGAACAAACATTGCGAAGATACGTAATTATGAATGTCGAAATCGTCTTAGAGATCCTCATTTTATGCTTCATATTCCAAATATATACTACAAGTTTTATAATGAATGAGAACATTATGGGATTGTGTAACAATGAATAAATGCGCAAACTAAGTGCATTCAACTAGTCATCTGCGCGGTGGTGATACAAAACTAAGTTTGGCGGATTTATAAGCGCGTAATAAACTTAGTAGCCTCAAATAAACTGTAATTTAATTTCAAATATCGATGATAGTAATTTACGCGACAATTTAATTTACACAATTCGCATTTATGATATATAGCAGATAATATTGCATGTCTATGTCTATATATAATCAACTCACAAATTTGGATTTTTTTGAATAATTCAGCGCACCAGAGTAAAAATTGTGATGTCAAGGTGCTAAAAACGAGAATGTTTTGCATAATTTTTTATATTGAAATTAATATTTTGTCCATTTCTAAATTTGTCGAGGCGATCGGCCGAATAACAAGACGCGACGATCTTTTTTCGTTCTCTTTTCAGGAGGTTTTGATTCCTGTACGGGTGACCATCACGCGTGCATTAATTTCTACATAAATTTTAACCTTGAATCGTAAAAAAATTCGGGGCCAAAATGTCAAGACCTGGAATGAAGTATCGATCGAGTTCGCGGCCCCACCTTGCTGTGGTATTTTACGGATTCCTGACATTTTGGACTGGCTTTGTGGTTGTATAGTCAAGTCAAACCAAAAAAATCTTGTTTACGAAAGTAGTTATTCGTCGTCATAATTAACAACTCTTGAAAACGAAGTGGGCAATAAACGTGTCGTCGCTATCTTTGGCAATTTCTTCTTTTTGCGTTCATTCGAGGACATTTTCGGCAATAATTAGCTTTTATCCTTGGAATTGAGAATTCTATAGAGAAGACTATTGTAATGGGATTAAATAATCAAGTTTCTAATAATAGACTTTGCAAAATTAGCGAAAGATAAATTTAAAATAAAACATTTATATAATATAATTGCAAATATATATATATCGCTTTGCGATATATACATATATGCGTGTGTGTCTTACAGTATTTCTAGAGAAATATTTTTTATTAAATTTAATTTTTTCAGCAATGTTTTCTCTCAATATATTGAAGAAAATAATTATGCATAAAGCAATAAATGATAAAGCCGCAATATTATTGAGCGGTTTCCTTTATCCTGTTTCCTTTCTCTCGCTGTTGTGTCATTTTCCATGATCTAGATTTTTTATTTAACCTAAATTACAAAATAGTTTCCCTATTTAAGTATGCGCGTTAGATTTTTATTTTTGTTAAAATGTGTAAACATTTAAATGATCAATATTTTATGTGAATATTATTATCTTAGATACGTATCTCATGCAAAAAAAGAAATAGAAAAAGATCTGTGTCAATATTTTTTGTTAATTACGCGTTAATATCCGTCGATGTTATCAAGTATTTTACAGTTATCGAGTTATGTATTCGCCTGCTCTGTACAAGGTTTTAATGCACCGTTCAGTCCGTCAAGCGGTACTTATGTTTTTCTGCTTCCACATTACACACACCTAGTTCGTATTACGTGTTAGACGTTAAAATATGGTCGCAAAATAGTAGCGCAGCTTTTTCAACCGTAAAAATGTAACGCGATCTGCAAGCACGATATACGAAACGTTTGGTTTTTTCGCGTTTCCATTTTGCCCGCAAATGGTCTTCAACGAAGCCGCCCGTGCTGGCTGCGATCGATCTCGGCGTTTGTAAAAAACGTGCCATTGCGAAAGCATACGTAATACACGTAGATTAAAAACTGATTATTAAAAGGCCACTTTTACGCCTGCGTTTCCGCTTTCGAACGGGCGTGTACGGCGGATTTTGCGCAAGACGTAGCGTAAAAGATGACGCAGAAACTTTCTGTTTATTCGTCTTAAGAGAACGGCGATTTATTAGATTTTTCAATACTCACCCCAAGATTCCGCCGGCCGCGGGGTTTCTGTAAAAATCGCATCTGTGCAACGGCCTTCTTGGATTGTCAACGTATCTCTGTCCTGCAGCCTGGCAGAGAGCGCGATACAGTTGGAATTGAAGGACGCCAGCCACGAAATTCCTGTAAAATATGAGAGAAAGCTAATTAGCTTATATCATGCCTCTTATGCGTATCTCGACATACTTAATAAGCGTCGAATCAGCCTTATATGAGAAGATATATTACAGTAGGGGTAATTTAAAAAAAAAAAAATAAAATGCATTCATAATGCACAAATTTAACGGTCATTTATTAAATCAATAAGTTTATCTTTTATTGTGCCTGATAGTTTATTTAATTAATTAATTTTAAAATACATAATTTTGAAATATTAACGGCTTGAATAATTTATCAACAAGATGAGAGAAAATATAGCAAAAGATTCATGAAAATATAAAAATCGTACAAACTTGATAACAATTGTGTAATTCATAAAATTATGAGTTAATATAAATCTATAAAATCTTAATCTATAAAATCTGTTTACATTATGTTATTTGTAAAGAATGAAATTATATTTAACAATTCAATTATGCATTTTTATTAAATTTGAGATTGGTCTAGATTTAAGACAGAACAATTATTTAATTTATTCATCCGAGTCACGTCTAAGATGCCAATTTTCGTGAATCTTGAAGAGCCATCTGCAAGGTTAGTGTTAACAGGGTCAGGGAGGTTACGAAGAATCTCGATCTCTATGGAATGAATAACATGACGGGAGATAGAATACTCTCGCCTTCTCCGCATAGAATAAAATTGCCGTCAGGTGGCTAAAAAGAGAGGACGCTCGGCAATACACAGGTAAGTATGTTGCCGTTTCACCGAGAGAGACTCTTCATCGGCAACGACCTTTACGTAATATCATCCAGACGATCCTCCCGGAGATCGCTGTTCGATATTACGATCGCCATTCCGACACTTCTACTTTCCATGATTGTAACGGTTGCCTCGCACGAACCTGTCGTTTGAAAATATATACGAAAGTGTCGTAACACACGCGTGACATCTGAAAATATATTGCGACTTGCGTAGCGTAGCAAGCATTAACCATGAAGTCATCGACGAAATTAATAAAATCCACGATTTCCCAGCTTAAATACGTTTCAGGAAGGAATTTAAAAGTACGCAAACCGTCTTGGATTCATTATCATAGCAGTTCTATAATCGGTTTTATAACCGATGTATAAATAGCTACAATAATTACAATATTTCTGATCATATAATAATTATTATTACACGTTAATTAATGAGTCTCGCATATCATTGCAAAATTATGAGCGAAGAGATTTCTGTAAGCAGCTGAATTCAAGATGCGGATAATCTGATGACGCACCGGAACATAAAATTCGGCATAAATTTTGTCACATTGCGAAATTCGGCGCAGTAAAATAACTATCTGATTTCGCAATTGCGAGTGTTTTTGCTGGCAAATATTATCGATTAACCTTTCTTGCTCACCTACATTTAACGAGTGGGCGAACGCATCCAAATGGCATCGCCGGAGAGTGAAACCAAGTCGTCATATTGGTATTCAAGGGGAAGTAATCGTATCGCGAGAAAACGATTGAATCAGGTTATACGGTTGAGTAGAGTCGAGGTGAGACCTTCGCCCTGAATGGCAGACATCGTGATAGCTTCGATTATTTTGATGTACTTTTTCAGTTACAGAGAGAAGACGGTAAAATCTCATTAAAATTGAAATAATAGCTCGTTATTAATATCGTGAAGCATGAACAAATATGATATAACAAGTTTAAACGCAAAAGTTTGATGAAAAATTAAAGTAGAAGATACAAACGCGACAGAAAATTTTTATATAAAAATTCTTATATAAACTTTTCATATAAATAAAGTCTTATATAAAAGTTATATTGTTTATATATTATTTATATTATTTTATATTATTAAATCTTGTAGTATAATATTTTACATATATCCTTTTAACCAATAAAATATATAAATTCTATTAATTTTTTTGCATTTTAGATACACAATTTGTTAATTCATTACATACATTGAGATTTTCTTTTATTAAAATTAATTTATAAACTTTTCTAACTATCAATTATCGATCACTTTTATGCTAAATTATTAAATATTTTCCAGAACACGAGAATTTTTAATTTTAGTTCGATTTATCCCTCAAAAGCCGATTCGTCATTGTTACATGAATCAACTATACACTCAAAAAAGTGGTATTGCAACCACAGCAAAAATTTTCTGGGTGCGCAAAATTAACTGAGGTACATAAATGATTAGCAAATACCGTGATATCACATATGTTTCGCATTTAATCAATCTAAGTGCCTGAGACAGAATTTATATCTGAACTGTTTGTGAAATTTAGAAAGAATGTTTTTCTGTGGTGCCTATCCATGTTAAGGCCAATCATACTTGTTATAAAGTTTGGCTGTGGTACACAGAAAAGATTAGCGGCAAGAAACAAATGAATATATAACCCTCACGTCTAACATATTTGTATAACGCGCTCAATCTATCTAGCTCTTTTAAACAATTTTTCTCAATTTTTCGATGCTGCAGTTATAATTGGCAGTTATATTTCTCACAAAGATTGTTCTAGCTGTAGTATCGAAACTCATATTTATCCAATGCAGTGATTAACATTTGGCAATGGGACCTAAATTTTCTAGAAGATATTATTAGAATATTGCTGCTATAAATTCTATATGTAACAGACAATATTCTAACAGATACAAAAAATAGCGATAAATTTTTGTTGTGACACCTAGAAATCTACCTATATCAGCAAGACATTTTTTTGAGTGTATCTTTCGATTAAAGTAATAATCTCTTTTTCTCTTCCTCTCTATTCCGCATTGCGAAACATATTAATGATATACTTTCGCCTATAAGAAACAAATTGTTAGTGCATGCTATAGATTTCTGCGAATACATTTCTTTGTCTAATATATATTTGCTAGGTAAAGTGATATAATACTACACGGCACCGTCGCGTAAGGTGATCACGTCCCATGTATAATGCGGCGGTAAACATCGACATACTTGGCCGCGTGCAAAGCGGAGGAGGCGAAGGAAAGCGCGGAACTTCACCGGCTCTAGAGCGGAATTGTGATGTGGGACCGCATGTCCCTCGAAAGGGAGCAATGCTACACCCACGAGATCGGCGGGAGATAAATTTTAGCGGCGTGTCTTGCGTTGTTTGTTATGTATGTGTGTATATATATGTATCTCCATTACGTGGCACAACAGGCGTTGGGCGAGGTGAGGACGAAAACGGAACGGTAATAGCGAAAGGGAGAGGATGGATGATGACGTTGATCGCGCGCGATTCGCGTGACCGTTGCAGTCGATTGCCACGAAAAATAACGTATTAAAGTGTCCGTAGCTGAAACATGTTACGTTGCGTCAGTACGATCGGCATACAACAGGTTTTTAGTAGGGAAAAACATTAGAAGATAAAAGGGATTTTACTTCTCGAATCTATCTAAGTTTCTTGCAATCATTTATCTATGTATAATCTAAAATCCTTATTTTTTTCATATTATCAAAGCGATTTTTTTGGCTTTTATTAACTCTACAATCAATTCTTGTAAGTATTTTTTATTTCGAGAAAATTATGAGTAATAACATACAACAAACTAGGATTATTCGGCATTTGAGAAATAATTTTTCACATATATTTAAAATCATGATTGGGATAATGAAACAAGGGAAGCTACGTTTCTGCTGTTCGGGAGGTGAAATGGAAAGCGGAAAATTTATAATTTAGAGACACGTAAAGAAGGTTGTCGACGTAATGCTGGAATGTGAATTATGCATTCTTGTAGGGGGACACATAATTGCAGGGAAAGGGTAGGAAATTAGTGTAATTTACTGACGGAGAAACTAGATTGGCATGTCAATGTTCTACCTAAGCGCATATATGCACATATGAGCGGCATATAATTTATTATAAATTGATATTAAAAAAAGAAGTTTTGTTAATGAAATCTAATAAAAATATTTAATTCTGTGTCATATCATTAACTGACTTTGTGCGTACAATGTGTACGCGCATATGTTAAAATATAAAATACCGTAAGACGTACAATCTTCGATTGCATTTCAACGATTGCAATCCACCCTAAATTTTCGCGACTTCCGTTTCAATAGCGAAATATTTCTATTTCGAGGAATCTACGGCACAAACGTAGTAAAAGTTTAAAATCCAACTCAAGCACACTTTAACTGCATCTGGAAACGGAGTAATGACGAACAATAAAGTTTACGAAATATCGTCAGAGCACGTTTGAGAGGGCACCAAAAATTGACAATATAACTTTCAACAATTTCGTAAAATTTTATTTAACTTGTACATTAATTTATAAGTCTCTCGCAAGGTTGGGGAACCGACACGCGCCAATAACACGGTGACAATCACCGTGAGTGATGTATGTCACACGTTTTGCCCGCACGACCACCGACGGTATCCGTATCGGCTGACAGATTTACCAGCAGGCGAATCTGTTCAATCCAAACTCTCGTGAAACATTACGTACGAAGAGGCGAATTTTTACGTACTGTCAATCTCTCTCTCTAAGTTCGTTCAAACTGGAAAGGCACGCGGATACGATCGATGTCTCGTCGGCGGCTTCCGATACTAACATAAGGGACGTTACGACGGCCAATCGGTATGTCCGTCGTTCCTCAGAGAAAGTATCATATAAAACTAAAGCAGTCGAGATACCTGCGAAGACATGTGAGAAAAAAAATCAGGCATCGCGAGCACAAGTATTTGACGAAGAAGGAAGGGAATGAGACCCGTCCGTTGAAGAAGGAGAGTTTGTTCTTCGCAACGCGCGTACATGCGTGCGTGCGTGCGCGTGTATGTATGTAGGGAAGTTAAAGAGGGGGAGTAAGGTGTCTGTCCCAAAGGGGAGTGGTGGTCGTTCAGACGGTAGGACCGTCATCGTCATAGTTGAACAAAGAGGTATAACGTGGGGGTACATGTCTTGGGGCCCCGGACCCGGCGGGCCCCGGGTGGCGAAGGCGAAAGTGTGCCGCGTATATAAGACCAGGAACCGACGGCAATCAGCATCCAGTTCACTCCTGGACGCACCCGGAACATCGCGACAGCAAAAATGAGAATCCTGGTACGTCTTCCGTCATAGTCGATTCGCTTGCAATATTTTTCGTCTTAGTGTCGCGTTGTCGGAAAGCGAGAAACGTCGGTGAAACGTGTATCGAGGAAGCTCAGATAGATAATAATATCTACGAGAAGTGAACGAGATTAATCGGGGGTGTGGATCGTTCGAGAGAGATTAAACGCGCGCATAGATTCGGCTCGTAAATCATGCATTAAAGAATTCCGCGAACAAATTGCACGCGGAGTGTATTTTTAAATAAACATTTCGCGTATTAATGTTGGACAATTACGCGACTTGAATAGTTTCACTTTATTGCAGAATAAACGATGGTCTTCATCTTTAATACGCTTTCTTGATCACATTTTAATTCTGAATTTTTGCTAAATTCTAAAGAATTTTTATTACATCGTGCGGTGATGTATATGTGTGTATTTAATCTTAAATTAGAATAAATTTTTTAAGCATAAAGAAAATTAATATATCTCGTTACAGATCTTTACGTATTGAATCGATATTAGAAATACGAGCGGTAGCAGTCGCGGACTTAAAATTTTTAATAAACTTTTTAATACATGCGCGTTCTTCGAAAGCTCGTTTTCCCTTAGATTGGATGTTTCGAATATTATATATATATGTAATAATGAATTGCAATCGATATATTACTCATGTTGAATGTAATGAAAGATAATATTGCGTATTTTCTAGATTTGCGTGGCAGTTGCCGCCCTCGTGGTTACGACAGTATTGTCGGAGGAGACCGCGAAAGTCGAGAAGTCAGTGGAAGCGAAGTCCGGAGGCGAGAAGAAGCAAGAGAAGCGCGGGCTATTAGGTCTTGGTTACGGTTACAGCTATGACGGTGGATACGATATTGGATCTGGTGGACATGTCGGCCTCGATCTGGGCGGTGCATACGGTGGATACGGCGGTGGATATATCGGCGGTCACGACCACGTAAAGACCGTGACCGTAGTGAAGAACGTCGCCGTGCCATACCCCGTGGAGAAACACGTGCCCTACCCGGTAGAGAAGCACGTGCCTTATCCAGTCAAAGTGCCCGTACCGCAACCGTACCCGGTTGAGAAGCACGTGCCTTATCCAGTCAAGGTCTTCGTGAAGGTGCCCGTTCACGTACCCCAGCCGTATCCAGTGGAAAAGAAGGTTCCCTATCCGGTTCACGTACCGGTCGATCGTCCTTACCCCGTCAAGGTTTTAGTACCGCAACCTTATCCCGTAGAGAAACACATTCATGTCCCAGTAAAAGTACCAGTACCGCAGCCCTATCCCGTCGAGAAACCAGTCCCAGTACCAGTGAAAGTTCCGGTCCACATACCTCAACCTTACCCGGTCGAGAAGCTCGTACCTTACCCAGTTAAAGTTCCAGTCGATCGTCCTGTTCACATACCCGTTCCCAAGCCCTACCCCGTGCATATCGAGAAGCACGTACCTTATCCAGTCGAGAAGCCGGTACCCTACCCCGTGAAGGTTCCAGTTGACAGGCCGTACCCCGTTCATGTCGAAAGGCCCGTGCCAGTTCCGGTTAAGGTGCCAGTACCGCAACCGTATCCAGTCGAGAAGCCAGTGCCTTACCCGGTCGAAAGACCTGTGCCGGTAGCAGTCAAGGTCCCGGTCGACAGGCCGTACCCCGTTCACGTCGAAAAGCCCGTGCCTTACCCGGTAGAGAAGCCCGTGCCTTACCCGGTTAAAGTGCCGGTAGCTGTGCCGGTGCACCACGAACATCACGGACACGAAAGCTATATCTCCGGTGGATACGGCGGTGGATACGAGGGTGGCGATGTAGGCTACGGTAGCTACGGTAGCTACGGTAGCTACGGTGGCTACGGTCACCACTAATATCACAATTCCCGGTTCGTTCTTTGTCGTCGTTGTATGAGAAACTCTCCACCGCGCGCGACGACGGATAACCGCGAGGATCTTGTCTTAGTATACGAAGAACCGATTCGAAACGTTGCCGTGCGACGCAGCGATATCCGCCACTTTGTACCTGGATCGGATCGGGGACAATCTCCGGTAGACGATCGCGTATCGGTCCATTGTACTCCGATTTCGATGATAATCGCAACGAAGGCGCGGCACGGCAACGTGTGCCAGGAAGAACGAATGACCAATAGGAATGTACTCGTCTTTAGCGATCTTTGCTCGAGAGCAGCTCGCTTGTCTTACTTTTATACCGATATTAGCAAAGTATGTATTTTTTTACAGAAAATGAAATAAATATTATTGTAAAGTAGTTATATATATGATTATGTGTATTATCTTCTGAATTATTTATCCTAATTCCCACATGTTTTCCTTTTTACAAGAAAGATTAGGAAAGATATTAAAGAAAAAAAAATTGACGAAAATGGACAGATCAAAATGTGCTCAACAATTGTTGAATTTATAATGACTTTCAAATGGAACAACGTTATGCGATAAAAACGTATTCTAATGCTGCAAGAGAGCATAGCATATAAAATAATATCATGTAGAGAAAATAATAAAATTACGTTTTAAATAATAAAATTATTACAATATTAGCAAGAAGCAACAATGGCAAATAAGCGTGAATTAATATATATTTTATATAAAAATATATTATATACTGTTATCACACATATACGCATGTATAAATAATATTAAATGAATAATATGTATGTTAAAATATATTGTGTTTTATATTACTAAAAATTAAAAAAATTTTTTTTTTTTGAATTTTTACAAACGGATCAGAAAAATGATATTAAAGAGAAGTTTGAGAGACTCTAATATTAACTCTGTTTAAATTATCTTAAGCTATATTTTTTTTATAACAATCTTATATTTGTTATTGATAACATTCTGACAATATGAAATTGCATGATAAATCGTCAACTTTGTTTTTGTCACCAACGCATTTTTGTCAAATCGATAACTTTGAATTTACATCATTATACTCTTTTACAAATCTATTTGAGTTTTGTAGATATTGTCGAAAATTATTTGGGAATAAATCCCTTGTAATCTATTTTAAAAAATATTGAATATTTCTCTTTATTCTCTCTCTCTCTCTCTCTCTCTCTCTCTCTAACGTCTGCAACGATAATATTTTATTAAAGATCTGTTCTTTTTTTAAATATATAATCGATTGTTTTATTAACAATATTTTTTCCAGATTATTTGCTTTTCTTCGCCCACCCCTCCCTTTCACTAAAAAATTCTTTATAATATTACCATTAAACTCTCTTACATACTCTGAATTATTGGCAACTAAAATGTGTGTATATTTATACACATATACTCTTACATACAAGAAACTAAAATCAAGTATTGATCTGTGCATCATGAAACTCTGAAATAAATGTATATATTGATGTAATATTCAATATACATATAATTAAACTTATTACTTTGACCTTCATTATCTTATGTTTACATTTCCTTAGGGAACATCAAAGTTTGTAATTTCCATAGTGGTGTTCTTTTCTTCGCAGGAAAGTTATGTGTGTATGTGTGTGTGTGTGTGTGTGACTTAATCCATACCAATTATATTAATTAAATTGATATAACGAAGCTAACAATAAGAAAATAACAGTTTCCAGTTAGCGTCGAACGAAAACTTATAGTATATCGGATAAAATAGGATATTATCTGCATACGTGTGTATGTAAATTTCCCCGATTTTAATTAACATCGAGATGCCATGACCTTTTGGATGAAATTTCCGTATTTTCTCAAAATTTCGAAATGTTACGAAGTATAAGATAAATGTGTATACGAATAAATAATAGATGAATAAAAAATTTATATTTGCCTTTACTTACTTATTGTCTTTATTTATATACATCTTATGTACTTGTATTTCATTATGAAAAATTTATGAAAGAAAGAGAGAGAGAAAGATTTTAATTTATATAAAATTTAAAATAGATTTTGATTTATATAGAATATATATATTGATTTATATAAAATTCATTTTAATTTATATAGAAATTTGAGAAAAAATTTTTGAGGCTTACAGATACAAAAGAAACAATGGTTCTCTTCATATCGTTATATCGATTTATGATAAACTACCGTGCATCGGGGATGCAATAAAGTGAAAAAAAAATCTGCGCGCAAGGTAATTGATCTTTTTGATCAACTTCCATTATTCCGGTCTTTGTGATTCAGTCTTAAAATGTTTTGTTGGGGGTTCCCTGATATCTGCAGAGGTAAAGTCGATGTGCATCCGCGACTAATTTCTTGCACGACCCACTTCGGCCGAAGCGGCTTTGCCACTTGACTCACGAACGGCGACTTACGTGCTCGTCCGGATCGCGGGAACGATTATGCAATCGTGCCATTAGCGCACGCGACGTCGAGGCTGAAAGTAAGAGTCTCCCCTTCGCCTCGCCAAGAAAGATCGTGCTGCCGTAAAGTCCACTTCCCCTTTCGTCCGTTTTCCACAGACCCGGAGCGGGTCTGTCCTTTCGCTTCTTTTATTTATCCCGCCGCACCTCTTCGCCTTGACTCGCGAAACTATTTCTTTTAAGACAATTACGCGGAACGAACACGATGTTTTGCATCCTTCATTAAAAAATATTGTACTATAAAGATCTTAAGATCACGAATATCAGAGCGTAACGTGGGAAGGCTGATAGTTGCTTAAATGTCAGATAGATGCTTTGACAGATTTTAAATTATTCAAGATTGAAAAATCTTGTTTTTTAGATAAATTATGGAACATCTTTCATTTTAATAGACATTTTAATTTGACATTTAATTAATAATAGAAAATTAGATTGCTAATCATTGTGAATACTATGATATTTAAGATTGAAGAAGATGATCAGATTTCGCATTTAATTATATTTAAATATTCAATGAGAAATTATGAAATCTAATTTATTAGTTTAAATTAAAAATTTTACTTTTTTAATACTAACGTTATATTAACGAAACCAATAATTTTTGTGATTGTTATCATCATGTTTATCCTTCGTGTGTTTAGTAATTTTGTTACAAAATGTTCTATCACCTAATTGCATTGGTGAGAGGATCTCAAGTCAGTTATTTGACATTTTCCTTTTTTTTAAACGAGTTGCCAATGCATATATTTACAGCATTAAATGATGCAATTAGAATAAAGAAAATTTATATATATGATTGAAATATAATATTGAACAGAGTTTCTTTATATATACTTAAGGGGATCCAAAAGCTCGTCTGTTTTACCGACCAAAAATTATTATTTTGCACATTGAAATCTTTTTTTTAGTTGAATAGAATAATAAATCCTTTTCCACGATTTAAGTGCACATCGAAACAAAGATGAGTTTTATATTAAGCAAATATTAATTATTATGGTCGGTAAAACAGACGAGCTTTTGGATCCCCTTAACGAATAAATATTTTTGTATAAATTATCAATTGTTAATTCAAACTTTTTGGGGATGTCTCTTATATTAATTGTCTTCGGAATCTATCTAAAAAGAAACGGCATTTCTCTCAATTATTTCCAAAGACAGTAACCGGTAAGCATAACCGGTAAAGTAGCTTGGTACTTTTATATTTGCTGCTATAATAAAGATGTTCTATTAAAGGATATTCTCTAAATGAAATAATTTTATTAAGTCACAAAATAAATATTATAATATTATCTTCGATTACCTTCTTTCCGAGCATTTTATGAAATCAAATCTTTTAAAATAAACTAACTTACAAATAAATTTCTTATGCAAAATAGTACAGAAAAATTAATGTCAAAAGATATAATATTTTTATTCCATTATTCTAATCCTAAGACATACATCATATATGTATTTTTATTAAAATTTGATTTCTTTATATCTGTACATTACTATCATCTGTTGATAGCTTAAATTATTGTGGTTCGTAAAATTCATCTGGGACATATACCGTGAGAGAAATACTCTCTATCTGCTGTAGTTACTGCAGATCGTTACTATTTAAGCAGCAATCTATCTTTAAAATTAATAGACATTAAATTGCATTGTGTGAACGCATGATAAGTGAAAGTAATGATGCAAACGTATCATGATCCACTTTGCCCTCTTGGTGATTATGCATTTGACATTTGCAGAGGGTGATTTATTGCAATTGCTATCGTGAATGATAATTTGTTGTAATTTTAAGCCTAGAATATAAAGTAGGACTATCAGAGAGCACAATTTGAAATACATCAACATGTTTTACTAGCAAAATAACACATCTTCCTTTAAATTAATAAATTTGAAGAAAGGCTGATTTTATGGAAAGCATGCGATATGTGTATTGGTATATATATTTTTAATATAATTATATTTTACAAATGAGATATGGGATTTTAATTTATTAATTTTTACTTATTAATTGTTATTATTGTATATTATTTTGCTCTTCTAAATAATGTATTATATTTTCACGATAATAGTTATATACATTTATGATCGGTCATCATACGTCATGGGATCGTGTTAGTGTCCTAGAATAAAGCAGACCGTGCAGCGACATAATTAAAAGATTAAATAACAGATATAATCTTCCAGAACAGTGTCGCTTCCTATTACTAAAACATGTCGTCTTTGCTATCTCATGTGCGCTAGAAAGTATATATCTAGCAATGTAGCGATCTCGAGAGAGTGAAGGTAAAACCTATATATTAAAGATGTAAGAAAGTTTATGAGCGTACAAAACACGTATTTCCCTCATTAATAAGAGGACACTAATAACGAAAACAAGTTTATGCACAAATTTTATTAGCATTAATCTACAGATATCGCGTTTATTAATAACGTTTGATTTACGGAGATCTTCTTCTCTCCTTTCTTGTAAATAAATTGCTGACTTGCTAATGATATTTATAAGCATAGGTCTGAATAAGTTTAAGAATTTAACCGTAGTATGTTAAATAACTATATAATTAAAGAAGTATATTGAAAGATATCGTATAATTATATAAGATTAATTTTTTAATTATCAAGTTATCACATGTTTGGAAAATTATTATTATTGTAGCATTTGCTGTATACTTTAAAAAGGATATTCTAAGCAGATGTTCCAATAAATTATGCGCAGAAAATGTACCATCTCCTCATGTTTATCGCTCAATAAATCTCCCATTTATGTCATAATCTAGATATCCGGAAGCGTGAAGCAGATTCAAAGCGCTCGCGCTTCCGCTCTCGACTTCCTCCTTCAACACGAGTATAACAAATTCTCGCAAATACTCATTTAGAAGGATCTTAATGCCGTCGTCACTACAAGAAATGTCGAACTATTTCTCGCATT